AGGGGCTGTGTGAAAGCCCCTTGATATTGGGCTTCAGCTCTGCCTCTTGCTCCTGGCCTACTGAAGCTAGAGGCATCTTTTCACTCAGGCAGCTATTGGCTGCTGAGGCTAAAAAGCCCAAGGTTGACAAATAAAATGGCACAGTCCTGGTGTTACCAAACAACATGGCAGGCCGTTGATTCAAGTCCATCCAAGACTGGCAGAGCATGGCAGGCTGCTGAACAATGACACAACTACATGCAGGGTCCAAGGTGCCATAAGCTAGAGACCATTCCCCTAAGGCTTCTCCTTATATACGGGAAGCAGACCGCATCCCTAAGGCAGTTAATCAGCTGCTTGTAGTAGATTCCACCATGGAGTTGATTGCCAGTCTCATCACGGGGAATAACTATCACCAGCTTCCCAGCCATTCATCCAGACCCAGACAAGGTGACACACAACTTTAACTACCACACAGACTTTAAGGAAAAATCTAGTAGACAAAAAATATTATATAAAGGAGCCAATTCATCAAGAAGGTGGTGTTAGTTGCCAGCAGAGCCCCAAAATACATAAAGGACGCACTAACAGAATAAGAAGGAAAGCTAGAGGGCTCTACAATAAAAGTAGAAGATGTCAGTATACTCCCTCCTATTTTCAGTAGAGGATAGACCATCTAGAAAGAAGGTCAGAAAAGAGCAATGCCATAAACCAACTGAACCATATATGTGTGTGTGTGTGTCTCACTCCACCAACAATGGCACAATGTACATTCTTCTCCAGTGCACATGAATTATTCTCCATGGAAAATAATATAGACCACATGTTAGGTTAGGTCACAAAGCCGGTCTCAGTAACTTTAAAAAGATTGAAATCATAGTATCTTCCCCAACAATAATGGAATAAAAGAAGAAATCAGCATCTCTGGGCAGGAGGTCCTAGATCTGGCATTTTCAAAAGCTTGTCCGATGATTTTAATATGCAGCCATGGTTAAGAACTTGTTGAACTAAACTGATTATTTGAGCTCGAATAGTAACGCCAAAGTTAAGATTCCAGTGAGAAAGTTCAGTGTAGGAATCTCTTCCTGCCCTGTGTTCTAGAAACCATCTTTCCTTTTATTATTTTACATCTTAAACACATAGTGTTTACATTTTACATTTTAAACACAGTGTTTAAAATTACTTTTCATTTTTTCCTACCCTCCAAGTGTGCCATCTTTTATTTAAATTTACTGTAATTTTCTTCCTTTCCTTCTTGTTCCTTCACATTTCATATATTGAGTTTCACTAAGTTTCAGCAGTGGTTTACTTAGCCACCTATGCTTACCTGTACTGGTGATTGATACATCATTTTTTACTGGAGGTGTAGTAAGTTTATTTGAACAGGAGGATGGTGGAGACATTTCTTCTTGGGTTCATATCATTGAACAGTCATCTCTGTTGCAGCTATTCCATGAGCAGTGTAATGACATTTCAGAGTATTTGAAAATAAGCCAGTGTGACTTAACTAAACTTGCTTGGAAATTATACCATGTATTAATGTTTTGCTACAATATCTCAAATATTCCAGTTACAAACAAAAACGTAAGAATAAACAAAAAACTGTTGTGAAATGCAAAGGTGTTTTTGTTCTGTTGCAGGGGATTATTTATTTCAATCTCAGACAGAGGCCATATTAAATCAATTGTGGATAACTGGCCAGAAAATGATGTTAAGGTACTAATAGCACAACCCTCCTTTTCACACTGTTTTTTCTTTTCTTGTAAATTGCCTCTAAATTTCTGAGAACAGTTTTTCATTGTTGCTCTGATTGAGTTTGCACTTATATAAATGCAAAGTCTCTGCTTTGTATGTGAGGATATCCTAGTAGTAATAGTTGTAAAATGGGTAACTGGTAGAGAGTTTGACTCAGAGAGAAACTGGAGCTGCTCACTGTCCGTACCACTGATGTCTTCAACTATTTCCATATCCCTTTCCTGTTTACACTGGTATTATGCCAGGTAGGGAAAATATGTTAAAATGCCGTAAAGTGTTACTCGGGTGGATGCTGGAGAGGATTGTTGAGCCCTTTTCCTTCTAATCAAAGGTAGATTTAGATTCTTAGCAGATACAAAACCATGATCACTGTGGCTGCCTTTTGTAAATAAAACTGAGTAACTTTTATTTTTAAGGTCATTTGGTAGGCTATTGGGTTAATTATAGGCAGTAATCTTAATGTCTTAATTATAGGATTTCCTTACCAAAATAAACAGTGGTGAATAATCATTAGCTCAATAATATAGAAAAACAATGTGGTCAGTTTATTGAAACTCACAATATAATCTTAAAGCCCTGTAGGTAGGTATATTTTTTATTTGAGAACCTTTGCTCTGCTTTGAGGTGGTTTGCTTGGCATAGCTTGTGCGTGTTGGAATCTCTTTACCATGAGTTTACCTCTCCCATCTTCAGGTTTTCTGATAATATTTATGTTGGTCCTTTAGTCAGTAGCATTCTTCTCCTAAACAGAAGTCAGAAGGAATTCAAATCTAGCTCATTCTTTACCGGAAAAAAAAAAAAAAAAAAACTCTTAAATTCTAGAATTTTAAGTATGACTAATTAGTTTACTTTGAAAGTTAGTCAAGAAAGAATTTTATTTTTTAAAGTGAGAGTGAAGGCATGTGAAGGGAAGCAAACCTAAAATGCTTTTCTCTAGTGGCCTGTTTTTGGCAACTTTTAATTTCTGTTTTTGTTTTGTTTTGTTTTGTTTGTTATCAAGGCTGTTGTGGTGACTGATGGAGAGAGAATTCTGGGTCTTGGAGATCTGGGTGTCTATGGAATGGGAATTCCAGTAGGAAAACTTTGTTTGTATACAGCTTGTGCAGGGATACGGCCTGAAAAATGCCTGCCTGTGTGTATTGATGTGGGAACTGATAATCCAGTGAGTAGCATATTGTCCCCTTTAATCCTCCTCCTGTGTTTTAAAAAATTGTATTATGTTCCTTGTTTGGTTATGATAATGTAAAAAGAAAATTTTGTGATGAGATGTTCATCTTTTCCTTAAACTGTACTTTTAATTTTGCATGTAAATTAAACCTATAAGTCTAGACACAGAGCTTTCATGTAGACACAAAGCTTTCATCTCTCACAAACGTTAACTTAAAATGGATCATAGGACACAAAACTATACAAATTCTAGAAGATAGCATTGGCGAAACTCCAGGTGACCTTGAGTTTGCTGATGACTTTTTTGATACAAAGCCAAAAGCATGACCCATAAAGAAAAAATTTATGAGTTGGACTTAATTAAAATTAAAAATTTTTCTTGTTAAGAGAATGAAAAGACAAGCCCAGACTGGGAGAAAATATTTATAAAATACATATCCAGTTAAGAACTTACACCAAAAGTAGGTAAGGAACTTCTAAAACTCAACAATAAGAAAACAACACATGTACAAAATGGGCAAAAGATCTGAACAGATAACTCATCAAAGAAGAGATACAGATGGCAAATGAAAAGATGGCATATGAAAAAATACCTTGTGCTGTTGTTGGTTGCCATTGAGTCAGTTGACATGAGTTTTATGTCATTTGGGAAATGCTAATTAAAACAGTAATGAGTGTACCACTACATATCCAGTAGTCTGGCTAAAACGCAAAATGCTGACACCACCAAACACTGGTGAGGATGTGGAGCAACAGGAACTTGTATTCATTGTGTGTAAAATGGTACATACAGCTACTGTGGGAGGCACCTGGCGGTTTTGTTTGGTTTTACTAAGTAAGCATAATCTTACTATGTGATCAAGCATTCACACTCCTGGGCATATATCCAGCTGATTTGAAAACTTAAGTCCACACAGAAAGGTGCTTGTGAATGTTCAATGTTTATTCATAATTACCAAAAACTAGAAGCACCAAGATGTTCCTCTGTAAGTGAGTGAGATAAACTGTGGTATATCCATAGCGTGGACTATTATTCAGCAATAAGATGAGGCAACTACAAGCTGTGCAGAGATGTGGATGAATCTTCAATGTGTGTCACTAAGTCAAAGAAGGAGGTGGTTAGATCATTCAGATGCCAACAGAAGGTTGTTGGTTGAAACCCACCAGTGGGAGGAAAATGATACAGTCTGCTTCCCTAAAGATCTGCAGCCTTGGAATCCCAATGAGGCAATTTTACTCTGTCCTATAGGGTCACTATGAGTCAGAATTAACTCACTAGCAGTGGATTTTTTCTTAAGCAAAAGAAACCAAATTGGAAAAGCTGCATACTGTATGATTCCATCTATACGACCTCCTGGGAAAGGCAGAACTGTAGAGACAGCAAAGATCATTGATTTCCAGGGGAAGGCGTGGAGCACAGGGCGTTTTTAGGCAGTGAAACTATTCTGCATGATCCTGTAATGGTGGACACATGACATGCATTTGTCAAAACCCAGAGGATTCCCCAACACAAAGATTGAACCTTAAAGTTAACTATGGATTTTAGTTGATAGTAATGCGTCAGTATTGGTTCATCAGTTATAGTGAATGTTGCACACAAGTATAAGGTGTTAACACCCGGAGAGTGTGTGGGGGAAGAAGGAAGCACAGGAACTGTCTGCTTCCTGTCCAATTTTTCAGAAATCTAAAACTCTAAAGGATATTAAGGTTAAAAAGAATATTAGTAATTTTTATTTTAATTTTGCAATTTTTGTTTTATGTAAATGTTTAAACTGGTTGTATAATAAAAATGGTGTTATTTTCACATTTGATTTATTTTATAGGCACTCTTAAAAGATCCATTTTACATGGGCTTGTATCAGAAAAGAGATCGCTCCCAACATTATGATGATCTGATTGATGAGTTTATGCAAGCTATTACTGACAGGTATTAAAAAAAAATTTGAGTATATGAAAGCATCTTTAATTTAAAAAAAAAAAGGAACCACAATTTTGTTTATTTTCCTTTATCTCTTGTGAAGATAGGCAGCAGAGATTAACTCTGACTTTATCCTGCCTGGTTGGATATGTGTACGTCCAGCCTCCATTAATGGCTGTATGTCCAGCCTCCGTTAATGGCAGTCACATGCACCCTATTACCAAAGGTTTGCTCTTGGTGTCATCTTAGACGTTCCCACCTCCTCCATCAAACCCCACCCTGTGCAAACACGCAGTCATTCATTTGTCTAATTCAGGTGGTACCACCACTCAGCTGCCTCAGAAAACAGGTCTTTTTCATTTTGATACAATCTTACTGCAGAGTCTGTTTCTTACTGTTTGTCTTAATGGATTCTTCTAACAGTCTCTTCCCGTTTCTCTCCTCTCTATTTCATTTCCACCTTACTACCAGATTAATATTTTTAAAATACGCCCTTCCTTATGCCATTCTTTTCCATGAAATCTCACAGCGGTTTCCTGCAGCTATAGGGTAAAGCTCAAATTCCTCACCTGTGTAATCCTGCCCCAGCCTGCCTTTCAAATTACTGGCACATAGAAGATACTCAAAATTTGATTGTTCTTCAGAGTCAAAGTTGGTATATCTAAAACTGACCTTTACTTCTCCCTGGAAATTACCATCTCTCTTTTCTCCCCTCACTTCTCTACCTTGGACAACCACATAGTATCCTCTCAGTCACCCACATTGCCTCTCACTTCCCAGTTGATCCTCAACATCAAGTTCTGTTTGTTCATTTTAAGTTCTCGTGTACTTTCCCATACTGCTGTTTGATTGTTAATGCAATGAGAGTGCGTGTGCATGTTTTCTTATTTTTTAAGTCTTTGTAACTTTCTGTGGCCCCTGCTTCCGATCTTGTCTTGATACAAGAGTGGCCTCCTAGCTGCTGCTTCTGTCTTCCTCATGTCTCCCTATCAGTGTTTGCTACATGTACACCACTGGTGGGGCTGGTTTATCCTCCCTGAAGGGATTCTAACATGGATTCATTGCTTCTCTGAAGCCATCAGAGATGAAGGGATAAAGGATAGGGTCCCCGTTCCCTAACCTGGCACTCAAGATTTTCCCTTATCTGGCCCCAACCTGCCTTAACCATCTTATCCCTTATCCTGTAATCTAAACCCTGAAATATATAACCAGACTGTTGAAACTTCAGGGTCACCAAAATATGCCTTCTTTTTCTTCCCATTTTTTTACTTGTTCTTCTTTCAGGGCCCAAATCACATCTGCCTCCTTTTCAAGCCTTTGCTTACTCCTTCAGCTCACTAATATGATTAATGCCTTCTTTTTGTGAATGCCAGTGAACTCATATAGCAATTATTTTTTAACCACTTATTTGATATGTGCTTTCCTGTACTGCTGTTTAACTGTTGCTGTAATGAGAATATACATAGTTGTGTGTGTATGATTTTTTAAGACTTAGTGACAATCTTCCTTTTTAGAAAGTTATTTAGTGTTCACGTGTAATGGGTGCCCTGGTAGGCACTTGGAAATAGTTTACACAAATGGATACCACATAAGGCCCCATCATTTTGCTACATTCATTTTAAGCACTCCATGAATGAATAATTTTTTTGAATGAGTGATACATTTCTATAATGTGAGTCTAGTCTTTCATAGGCTTTGAAAAGTGCCAGATGCCCTTAATTGATCTAACATAATACATTATTTTAAAATGTTATCACAAAGAGTATATTGGACAGCTGTGTTATAGAAGCATCATCAGTTACTGTGGGCCTGCTGTTTTTAGATATGGTCGGAACACACTTATTCAGTTTGAAGACTTTGGAAACCATAACGCATTCAGGTTCTTGAGAAAATATCGAGAAAAATACTGTACCTTCAATGATGATATTCAAGGTAAAGCAAAAAGAAAACTTTAATGTTTTGATTCCTGTTTTTAAACCATGTTTAATGTGTCCATTTGTTATTTTTGAAAATACTTGTTTTTCCTATAGGGACGGCTGCAGTAGCTCTAGCAGGTCTTCTTGCAACACAGAAAGTTGTTGGTAAACCAATCTCAGAATACAAAATCTTATTTCTCGGAGCAGGAGAGGTGAGTTTGTTAAGCTTATAGAATTTAAAAACAATGCTGTCTTCTAGAATTAGAAAATGGGACAGAATTTGACGTTATATTAAAGGTTGTTATGACCAAGCTTGAAATGTTGTTGACAGGAATTTGAGCCTTCTTTTGAAATTAGACAATGAAGAATATATTTAGAGAGACTATCACAACGAATCAATGTTTGTGAATTGTAAGAGGAATAGTCCTCATACTATACGACCTTAATATGTAAAGTAACTCAAGTATGGCAACCTACTGTAGTCTATGTGTTTACAGTTTATGTTCTGTTACACAGGCTGCTCTTGGAATTGCAAACCTTATAGTTAGGTCTATGATGGAAAACGGCCTCTCAGAAGAAGAGGCACACAAGAACATCTGGATGTTTGACAAGTTTGGTTTACTAGTTAAGGTAAGGTGTTTAAAACTTAGAGAAGCAAAAGAGTGTTGTTGCTATAATATTTTGAGTTGAATTTTTTAAAATAATACATTATTTCTTAAAATCTCGCATCTCACTGAGCTATCCAGATTGTACCATTTGGGACCTTCCTATGTATTCTTAATAAAAATCCTCCAGTCTCAAACTTCAGTCTTATAAAAACAATTGCTTCACATTCAAATCCCAATTTCTGTGTTGGCACCACACTTAGTCTTTCTTGCTTTGTTCTCTGACTCTTAAAAAAATCAAATAGCTATTATATAAATGAGATGATATTTGACCCTTCTAAAACTAGGTTTTTAATGGAAACTAAGTTCAGTTGCTAAGAGTACATCTGATATTAGAGCAGAAATTCTTTAACCCTTTGGAGATTGTAATCCCTGTGGATCCTTTCCCCAGAGAAGGTACATACTCCTGAAACCAATTCATGGATAAAAGATAAAGAGCCTTGAAGCCAGGAATTGACCTCACCCCCCTGGCTCAACTTTCAGCCAAACGATAGGCTTCTGAGGGGAACAGTAACACAGGGAGGTATGCACTCCCTAGAAGAACCAACTATAGGAGATCCAAAGGGCAGCGTTTACCCAGGGATAGAGCTCAAAAGGTAGGAAGGGATAGGACAGAAGGATGGGGAGTAAGTGGAGGGAGTGCTGTTAGGTATGGGATTGCAATCAATGTCACAAAACAAATGTATATGAATTGTTGAATAGAAGACCGATTTGCTCTGTAAACTTTCCCCAAAATCACAATAAAAAACTAACAGGGAAAAAAAAAAAGGATAAAGCACTTCCATCCTACATTAACTAGTGTCCTTTGGGCCTGCCTGCCTCAGCATTGATTGCCATTTTCATTAGCTTCACAAATGTCTTATACCTTATACTGTGTAATACATTAAAATAATACACAAACTGCTTTATAGTGCAGACTTCCAGTACACACTGCTCTTCTTTTTACTATTGTTGTTATGTGCCGTCAATGACTCACAGCGACTCCTTGGGTTTCCGAGGTGATATCTCTACGGAAGTAGATTGCCCAACCTTCCTTCTGAGGAGTGGCTGGTGGGTTTGAACTGGTAGCCTTTTGGTTAGCAGTCAAGTGCCTTAGGCACTATGCTACCAGAGCTCCATGTTGTTAGCTATAATCTAATGATATACAGCTGTTTGTCATTGATATCAGTAGAGCAAGCTATCTCAATGGACTTTGTTCCCATCCTGAAATCTTTTCTTAATTAGTGCCAGTATTCTGTTGGTACCTATAATAAAATGAAAAATATGTGAGTGGAAAATCTTCTCTGCTTAATTTATGTGTAATTTAAAATAATAGTAGTTTGAAATGTACTCAAACAAAAACCAAACTCACTGCTGTTGAGTCTGTTTTGACTCACAGTGACCCCTTTTGAGTTTCTGAGACAGTAAATCATTGTGGAAGTAGATTGCCCAGTCTTCCTTCCGTGGAGTGGCTGGTGGGTTTGAACTGCCAACCTGGTTAGCAGTCAAATGCCTTAGGCACTGCGCCACCAGAGCTCTTTTGAAATGTACTGGACACTGTAATAAGACTTTACAGTGTGTCTCATTTGTCCTCTCAAGAAACCTCTGAAGTTTAGACAATGTGATGAGACAAAGTGTATACGAACTGCTGTATGGAAGATGGATTTGCTCTGTAACCTTTCACCCAAAAATCACAACAAAATTTAAAAAAAGAAAAAGAAACCTGTGAAGTTTTATAAATGAGGAAAGTGTAGCTCTGTCACCTTATAAATGATGGAGACTGAGTTCCTAACCAAGTAGCCTAACTTGAAGCCTGTCCTTTTAACCATTAAACTGCACTGCCTCCCAGCGGGGCACTAACTACCATGTTTGCTAGTATATAAGACTAAGGGTTATAAGGCATCACACATCTACAAAGATA